TTTATAAGTTTTTGATTTATGTTTTCTTTAAATTTCCAAATTTTGCTTTTTTTTATATATCGATTCTTTTAATGTATACCTTTTCGTTAGAAAAAAAATTTTTAACATAACTTTATTTCAAGTTTGAAAAAAAAAATTTCCGAAGTTCAAAAATTCATATCTATAAAAAATAACATCTTGCAAACTTCACGATCTTTTAAGGCCAGTTGGCGGTAATCTACCAAAAAAAAACCTCGAAAAAAAAACATTTATATAAGTTCGTGCCTTTATGATTTTTGTTTTTTAATTCAAAATTCTGGAAATTCTTTTATTTTTCGATTTTTATATATGTATATTTTTCTTTAGATAAACATTTTTTTACCATAACTTCATTTAGAGTTTTCAGAGAAATATTTTCTTCAAAGTTCAAAAATTCATTTCTTAAAAAAAATATCTTCTTCAAAATTTTAATAACTGAATGTATTGTAAATCCTGAAAATTACTTTACTTTTCAATTTTTTTTTAAATTTTTTTAGATAAAAATTTTTTAACATGCTTCAATAATTCATATCATCAAAAAACCCCCTTTTTGAAAATTTTAGGATCTTTTAAGTTCTGTTAGCGGTATTGGATCTTATAAAGAAACACTAAGCAATTCCTTTTTCCTAAAAATTATGTTTAAAAATAATTAGACCAAATTTTTAAAAGTTTTTGCTTATGCATTTTTTTTCTTTACTTTTAAATTTTTGAATTTTAATTTTTCTAAATTTTGTATATGTTTTTCTTTATAGCACTAAATATCACCTTTCAATCGAGACCAGAACCACTTTTGTAACTATACTAATTTTTGATATATGTACTTAAAAAATAAATTTGCAAAATCCCAGAAATTGTGAAATTTAGTATTTTACATAACTTTCGAAAATTATTTTTAATTTTTCCTTTGCGGTGCATTTGTTATATGATTTAAGAAAAGTTCTGACCAAAATTCATACAAATCAAAAATTTTAGATTCCAAGCATTGTTCGATTTTACGTGGACTGACTCAAATATATTCAGATATTGGTGTGCGTTTATGCAATTATTATGTTACATTCGCATTCATTATGCCTTCCTTCCTGGCACATTAATCATTTTGTCAGACACTTGCCAACCGAGACCAGCAACGCTGTTGGCCACAAAAGTTGACTTTAGTCTCTGTTTGCCGATACATACCCTGCAAAAAATGCGACTAATCCGAGATGACTCCTGGAGCAATCGCAAAGGAGCATGCGACTAATACCACTTTTGATCTCTTTATATGGAATTAACTGATCGCTTTTATTCGAGCATGTCCTATGAAGAGACTAATTGTTCACCTTTATACCCGAAAGGGTATAAAAAGCGACTAGTCACTTTTAAAAAATAAAAATAAAAATTTCCGCCAGCTGAGATTCGAACCGGGGTGCTCCGTTTTGTTAGGCGAATACTCTCTCTGTGTGCCAACGCCGCACATGAAATTTCATTGACTAAGAGCGTACATATCATTAAATCGTTAATAGTACCCGTTAGAGATGAGTTGGGGACTAATTGATCTCCAATTATACCCGAAAGGGATGAGTCGAGACTAATTGACCTCCATTAGTACCCGTATGAGACTAGTTGCGACTAATTAATGCCCAATTGTACCCGATTGAGAGTAATCTCGGAATACTCTCTTTAGAGATTAGTCGCACAATTTTTTGCAGGGTATCGACTTACACAAGCGTATATGCATTTATAGTGCACATACATACATACATGCATTCGGACATATTTACTTACGTGTTTTTCTATACATCTTTATATAATAAGTATATTTATGTGCCTACATACGTACATATGTATGTGTATCGATTATAGCAGTAGTTCACGTTTGTGGCAATTAATCATGGCGACACGCTTGAGTTGAGCTTAAGCAAATTTGCTTAAGTAAAACACGTAATATTTATAAAAACTATTAAGAATATTTTTAACGGTTTAAGATGAAAATTTAATTCTCAACCTTGCAGCTGGAGTTTGTAGAGTGTAAAGTGGTTTTATATGCCAGAATTTAACTAGGTCACCTTTCATAATCTTTGAGATGGGTCGGTTTCCAACAAAACGGTTTCGAATATAACAGATGTTGATGAAAACTGTCATGGAAAAATTCACTAAGAGGGAAATGTTCTACAACTAAGTGATACATACCAATCTATTTCTTTTTTTCGCCGAAACTCAAATTTGAAAATATATTTTTATTTACAATTTTTATGCAAAATTAAAAAAAAATGACAATTATTTTTGTTTTTTATATTATAACGGTTATTTTTGATTTTTATATTATATGTCTTAAATAACAGTTATTGCCCATTGCAAGGACAAGTCTGTCGAAACGGCCTTACACACGGTCGTTGAAAATGTTGAGCAATCCTTCACGCAGAAGGAATTTGCGGTCGGTGCCTTCCTTGATATCGAGGGGGCTTTTAACAATGTTTTGCCTGAGCCTGTAGTTTACTCCCTAAATAAGCTAGGGGTCGGAGCCGACCCTGTCAGGTTTATTTACCGCTTGCTTTGCAATAGAACTGTCGCGGCAGAGTGGGGCAGCGCTTCTACCCGAAGGAGTGTGAGTAGAGGTACCCCGCAAGGGGAGTTCTCTCGCCGTTGCTTTGGGTCGTTGTAATCAATGGCCTGCTGGTGTCTCTGGAAAGAAGTGGCTGTCGGATGGTTGCCTATGCCAATGATGTAGTATTGATAACAAATGGAAAGTTTCCGGAAACACTTTTTGAGCTTATGCAGGGCTACTTGAGCTTGGTTGAGAACTAGGCTTTTAGCTGCGGGCTGGGTGTAAATCCCAGTAAAACGGAGCTTATTCTCTTTACTAGGAGGTATAAGATACCGAATTGCTGTCTTCCCTCAATGGGTGGTCTTCCTCTAAGGCTCTCTGACAGGGTGAAGTTCTTGGGCTTGATCCTTGACAGTAAGTAAGCTTTCCTGGAAGCCTAACGTGGAGGAAAGAGTCAAGAAGGCTATAGTAGCACTGTAGTGCATTGGCTTTATGAAACTATTATCAAGCCAAACTTATTATATGGGGTACTCGTCTGGTGGAACGCACTTGACAAGGCCTACATCGTCAAACAGCTGGAGAAGGTACAAAGAGCTGCCTTAATTGGAATCAGTGGGGCACTGCGAGCCACACCTACTCTTGCGCTTAATGCCATGTTAAATGTTGTGCCTATAGATATAGCTGGTAGGGTTGCCGCTGCGCGTGCCGCAGTAAGGCTAAGAGTGGTGGGCTTCAAGTTCACCTCAAGCTATGGGCACTCCAGAATTCCAAGAGACTTCGGGTTCCTACCGACTCGGACAGACCACTGCACGCCGGTTCTGGGCCGAATGGATCTAATACCACCCACATCCCGGCGAGTGGAGGCTAGGAGGGGTGCAGTATCTGGAATCGAGGGGACTTTTTCGAATTTTCATGACTTTTCAACTGCTCAAACGTTTCCTTGACAGCAGCCAGAGCAGTGCCAACTAGAACAATGAAAAAACCAGTTCTAAATTGATCTTCTGGTATGAAAATTACCGACCCTTCTTTTGCGAATGCATCTTTGGCACAAATTTTTCATATTTACGCATCACCATGAATAGTCCTCCTAACAAACACATAGTGGCCGTCCAGATAAAAAATTGTAAGCCCGTCTCACTAATGCTTTCATGCCAAATTGTAGGTAAGTGCCGAATTTGTCCAAAACTTAAGAGAATCAGAGCTAACGTTACCAACTTCTGCCTCGTTTTGTTACGCGAGCCGATGAGCCCAAATTTGCGGAAAATTTTTGACATTTACTGAAAATAATTTCAACTTTTGGTAGTCGAGCATTGTGTGGCTATTTTTACCGTTTTTGTTTAGCAAATACTTTATACTGAAAAAGGGCTATGGTTAGTAATAGGCAAATACTGTCTGTCTATTTCTTAAAGTACATACTTGAAAGGATATTCAGCGAAGGCGTTGAAATTATAGCTGCGTTAATTGGCTTAAACGATTCCATTTAACTAAATTGCAACAATTTGATTAAGTGCGGAAAAAAAGCATGCTGTACATTCAATTTCTTCATTTGAACCAAGAAATTACTTGGGAAGCGATTTTTGTTCTTCGCTACACATAGGGAGCGCAATTTATTTCACGATCAAACTAGATACATATGTATGCATGTATGTGGAGCATGGCATGGTCACATATAGAAAAATTCAACCACTTTTTCGTTATTATAAAACATGCAGTTTTAGGTACACTGTCGGCAAAAAGTATTGGCACAGCTGCTTTTTTACAATATAAGCAACAATTATTATTGTAATATTTTTCCGCTAATTTCGTATAAAAATATGGTTCATTCCACAACAAAAAAACATAAAAAAATAATTCCTAAACTTTGTGCAAAACTCGCGAAAATTCAGCAAATTTTCATGAACATTTTCCACTTTTTAATCAGATTTTTTAGAATTTTTTTGAATATGCAAATTTGTAGCCCAATCAATTTTATTATAATAAAATGCAATGTCTTCCCACTGTTGGCATGGATTGGCATTTTGCAGGAAATAGGCGGTAAAACGCTGCTACTGCCGCGTTAATCAGAGAACCAAGGTCAAAGAAAGTTAAGATATAGCATACGATTTAGCTTTACCTTTCTACCAGGCTAGAAAATCAATAGCTGCATATTTTGAGGTAATAACGGAAATCACTTAATCCAAATGAAACGAAATAAAAAAAAAATCAATTAGAAGGCATTTTTCTGCACTTACTAAAATTATAGCAATTTACTAAAACGAAACAATTTAATGCAATTACGACATTTATAAATTGCACTCCTTTTCAACGCCTCTGAACGTTCTCAGCTCTGCTGTAGATATAGTACTTTTTCCATTCTGATAAAAAGAAGTACACCATACCCCTTTGCTGGCATAGCATACTACGCTTTCATTTATACAAAGTTTCTTCAAAAAGTAGTGAACAGAAACTAAACTCAATTATGCTCGACTACCAAAATTTAGAACTATTTTCGGTAAATGCAAAAATTTTCCTTAAACTTCGAATCATTGGCACGCGCTCGAAGAAACGACAGCTGCTTGTGGCATTGGAACCGGTTCTCTCGATTTTTGGACAAATTCTGCATTTATTTATGACACGGAATGAAAGCATTAGTGAGACGGGCTTGAATTTTTTTTTCATGGCTGTTGTACTTAATTTAGTAGTAAGGCTATTCATAGTGATACATAATGGTGACAAATTTGTGCGATTATTACGATTAGTGGCAAACTGGTATCACGAAATTGAGGTGAGTGGGTTTTTGTACAATATCTTAGAATTGTTAGAAAGTCTTTATTTTGGCACACCACTAACTAGTTTTTATTTTTCGTTATCGTCTAAAAAGCGCGATGCGAACCCCGAAGTTTTACGAAAGTTGCAAGACGTCAACAAACACGCACGTAAACTCACACGTATTAGCATCTTTGCCGCCTGTACTGGAATGTTGTTTGCTTACACTTTTCCCTTCTCATTCGATGATCGGAGTAAGATAGTAAATATATAATTAGTAATTCGCTTAAATAATTAAAAAAAAAAACTCTCAAATCTATTATTCCAGAGTTAATTGTGGAGGTCTCCTATTCATTTTTCGATACAAAGCAGTCACCATTTTACGAATTCTTTTTCCTTCTACAAGCTCTCGTCCTAGTGCCCATCTTCTGTTGTGTTTATCTAGCTTTTACGAACCTCTTTCTCGCCTTTCTCATGTTCGGTGAAGTTGTGTTGTTGGATTTGCGTGTACGTTTAGATAGCATCAGCAGCAGCGGCAATAAAGCGGCAATGTTGCACGAATTGAAAGAATGCATTGCGTACCACAGAAAAATTATTAGGTGAGCAAATGTTTTTGAATATTGAAGTTTAAAAATCGATTTTTTTTTTACTAGCAATCGTTTCTATTTTTTTCATTTAGCTACCGCAACGATCTCGATAATTTGGTTAAAGTTGCAAATTTTTTTGATGTTGCTCTATTCGGCTTGATGTTCTGCATGATGTTGTTTTTTATGTCATTGGTAAGTACTGAGGTAAATCTTTTGCTTCCTATTACCAGTATTACAATATTATTCTACATAATAGTACTACGAATATTGAAGCATAAGATGAATAAACAATTTTCTTAATCGTTGTCTTAATCTTAATCTTAATCGTAATCTTAATCTTAAACTTAATCTTAATCTTAATCTTAATCTTAATCTTAATCTTAATCTTAATCTAATCTTAATCTTAATCCTTATCTTAATCGTAATCTTAATCTTAATATTAATCTTAATCTTAGTCTTAATCTTAATCTTAATCTTAATCTTAATCTTAATCTCAATATTAATCTTAATCTTAGTCTTAATCTTAATCTTAATCTTAGCCTTAATCTTAATCTTAATCTTAATCTTAATCTTAATCTTAATCTTAATCCTAATCTTAATCCTAATCTTAGTCTTTATCCTAATCTTAATTTTAACCATAATCTTAATCCTAATCTTAATCCTAGTCCTAATCTTAATCTTAATTTTTATCTTAATCTTAATCTTAGTCTTAATCTTAATCTTAATCTTAATCTTAATCTTAATCTTAATCTTAATCTTAATCTTAATCTTAATCTTAATCTTAATCTTAATCCTGATCTTTATCCTAATCTTAATTTTAACCATAATCTTAATCCTAATCTTAATCTTAATCTTAATCCTAATCTTAATCTTAATCTTAATCCTAGTCCTAATCTTAATCTTAAAAGGCCTTAACCCTTTTTTCTTACTTTTATAATTCTAAATTTTTATATTTCGCTCTCTCCATTTCTATTTTCCAGGTAAAGGATATCCAGCTAGTACTCTCCGCCGTGGTATTTATAAGCTTTCCTGTTTACGTAATTGCTATATCGTATTATTATGCAAACAAATTTACAAACGAGGTACTACTAATGCAATATAGCGAAGGTACTTTGGCAAAAACTCCTATCTCACAAGTCACTACTAGTCTTTAAAATGCTACGATTCATTATATATTATTCTTCATTAACTAAAAAGTACTTAAACTTAAATATTTAGTAAAAAATTGATTAAATAGAAAGTTTTTTGTTAGAGAGTGTTGTTTGGAAGTGTTTTGAGATACGAGGTTTTGCCAAAATGCCGCCGATATATAGCTCGGAATTAGGCTATAATACGGAATTACGCCATGATTCCATGCATTAGTTTTTGAGTGATGTGCGTACAAACAAACATACATACAGACAGACAAAAATTCGAAAAAGTTTTATAATTTTAAAAATCTAAAAAGAAAATGAAAATTAATTTTTAACACTTTTAAATTTTTCAAACTTTCTCAATTTGTTTTTTTTTGACACCATTTCAGAGCATACAAATTTGCAACGCCGCCTACAATACGCCTTGGTATGAGGGAAATTTGGAAATGCGCAAATGTGTGCTGATTATGATCGCCAGAAGCCAACGACCGCTTTATGTATGTACATATATGTTTGTCATTTCTAATTATGACATAAGTATATGTATGTATCGTTTTTTATTTCAGATCACAGTTATGGGAATGTATCCAATGACTTTGGAGACTTTTCAAGCTATTATACGAATTTCTTATTCATACTTTTCGCTGCTACAGGGTTTGAGCCAGCAGTAAGAAAAGGAGTAAATAAATATTTTGCAAAATCGTTTAAATAACTACTCGTATGTATATTTATAGTAGTTTACTCAATATTTTAGACAATGAAAAGTAGAGAATAAATATTACATTATCAAAAATAAGCTGATTTGCCTTTGAAATGATGAAATAAATCAATTTACAAGCCTTCGAAACCGCATCGTACCTTTTGCATAACTTCGATTTTACTTAAGAACCTATTTACTACATTAATTAAGTTTCATAAGCCTTATTGCAGTGCGCTCGTTTACTTGGCGATTTATAAATATCTTGTAGAAATGTACATTAGACCGGGTCGCAAACAAAGGAGTTTGAGGTCATAAAAATGTTCGTCCTAAAGTCGGCAAGTACTCCTGCCTTCATTTTCCCTAGTACCCCTCACTTAAGTGGCTGGGAAGAAGTCCAAGACGTAACGTTGCCAACCGAGGAGAGTTTATATGTCACAAAATGGAGATAGTCCGACGAAGAGATCACCGTCATGTACTCTTTGAGTTTAATATTGCGGCGTATACATCTATTCCCTTTAGGAATCCTCGCAAAAAATAAAAAAAAAGTTTGTCAAATAACTGCAGACAACTACAATCGAAGATGTTCCCACAGTGAGCGAGCTGAACGAAACAAAGAACAACCTGAATATAGCCATTATAACGACCCTTACGAAGGACTGTCCTTCCAGGTATGACAATAAGACTCGCACATCCCGGTGGAACGATAATTTTACTTGAGCAATATAACTTAAAGTTATAATTTCGCTTACCAGACTATTAATGAGACTTCTATATTAGACAGAAATGCTGCTCTCAGGGGTAGTGTTGCCAACTTCTGAGTTTAAAAAAAACTTGGGAAAAAAAACGTTTTACCGTACTAAAAGCACTAATTTTTGTGTACAGAAGGATACTTTTTTTAATTTTGTGAAAATCGAAATGAAGGTTTGCTGGCCCAAAATTTGAGGCGAAGTATCCATGAATTCTAAAGATTTTTTATAGAATTTCACAAAATCTAATTAACTTTCGGCTATCTAATTAACTAAAAGCATGGACGTATATGATGTTTGTACTTTTGCACACATACATATAAACATATGTATGTGGGTACATAATTTCCTCTTTTGAACATAAATACAAATAGGGTGATTCAATAGGAAAATTTTGTTTTCGCTTCCATTTTTCGTGCGTAGTGCTGAGAAGGCTTGTTCCCGTTTCCTTCTCTGTCAGGAAGTGCCCAAATTGTTGTTCGAGAGAATGTTCCTTTGACTTTTGTTCCGTGCCAGAACGTTTCGGAGACGTTTTTTCCCATTTTATTCACTTAGAAATGTTTCCGAAAGTATTGTTCGCATTTTGTTGTCTTTGGGAACGTTCCAGAGGGTTTTGTTCTTACATAATTCCCGTTGAGAACGTTCTCGTCAATTTTGTTCTCATTTCGGTTTGAGTTTTTAACTTAAAAATTTAAAATAAATAATTTCTGTAAAAGATCTGCATCCCCCTTGAATCACCCTACACACATACATATATCCGTAGATACATGCATATGTATGTGCGGTGTGCACTTCAAATAAACTTCTAGCTAAATTCACTACCTCCTCTATGATAAACTCATTGCTCAAACTCCCGTCCGCTTCGCCCGGCACACATGAGCAGCACTTTATTCAATTGTTGCACACTTGAATGAACAGCTATGTTGCTGGGTAAGTTGTGGCATAACCACAACATGCAATTTGAGCAGGATACTCATAACCAGCGTTGCCATTTTAGCCGTTTTCCGGCTAGATTTAGCCGGTTTTGATAGCAACTAGCCGGAGAAAATTCGATCTAGCCGGCAGCCGATTTGTTAGACGGTTTGTAAAAAAAAGTTAGCCGTTTTTAGCCGATTTTACTATTTGCCTAATTTTCAGGTGCAAAAAGTAAACAAGTTGTTCGAAAGCAATAATGCAGACCCAATGAAGATTTTTAATGAACTCAATGTTTTACTTTCGCATCTATGCTCCCTAGTGGTTATTAGCGCGGACACATTTGATCCTATATGCTCCCCGTTGGAACCATACCTTGCTCCATCTCCTCAGTTTTATCACAGTTTTGAAGAGTATTTAAAAACAAAAGTAAGCACAAACGCTTTTGACCACGAAGC